GTGAAAGGCATTGCAGGAATGAGCATGTAGGCTCTTACAGGCCAACTGCTGGCAAAAACATAATGAGATGTTACATGGTGAGAGCAGCATTTAAGATGCTTTCTGAATTGACAAAGAAAAGTGTAAGGACATTGCTTTAGGAGAAATTTTCTTTCTTTCTTTTTTCCTTCCCGGTTTTCTTTTCTCAAATCATATTTTGGAGGGCCAAATAGGTTGAGGCCAGATTTGGCAGCCAATCACCCAAACACATTTTAAAAACATATTTGATTCAGGAAATTCTGGATCTTTTAAAGCAAGGATGTTAACAATCCTCTTGAGAACCTTAAAATATGATGATTTAAACATAAGGGAAAGGAAACCCTAAAATGATCAGAGACATCACCAAGAGGCCTCCCTGCTGAAGAGTTCAGTTTTTTCATTTTGTTTTCTATTTCTCAAAGACCACAACGAGGTTGTTGAATGTACTACCTAAGGGAAGTCCTATCATTTTGGGTAAAAATTTATGAGACAATGGGGAAATTCATAATTCTCAAGGTAGCAAAAATAAAAACAAGAACAAGAACATTTGAATTTCTTGGACTCATATCCTCTAGATTCATTCACTGATCTGTCAAACCCATTATATTCTAGATTGATTATAATGAGTGTATTTATTACATATGAACAAATGTAATGTATACCTGGCTGTGAATATGGCCAAGTCTTGGTTATTTGAGGTCATGGGTATAGAGTGGAGGGAAAGCTACTATGCATAAATTAAATTCAGAGAGAATTAGACGTTTTTTTTTTTTTTCGAGGAAGATTGGCCCTGACCTAACATCTGTTGCCAATACTCCTCCTTTTTTCCTTTTTTCTCCCCAAAGCCCTAGTAGATAGTTGTATGTCATAGTTGTACAGCCTTCTAGTTGCTCTATGTGGGACGCTGCCTCAGCATGGCTTGATGACTTGATGGTCTGCGCCTGGGATCTGAACCGGCAAACCCTGGGCTGCCAAAGCAGAGTGCGTGAACTTAACCACTACGCCACCGGGCCAGCCCCAAGAAGGTTTTTTTTAAAACAATAGTTTCAAATCAATCCACTTTAAAGCTTTAGCCACAGATATGAACATAATAATATCAACTGATTTTAATGTTACTGACTTTTCCTTCCTAGCTTGCCATCTTGCACAGTTAGGTGAAATATTTTAGTTGATATAGTATATTGTATATAATAGTATATACTATTTTATATATCAATTAATAGTGATCATATAAAAAATGGACAAACATAAACTTCACTGATTCTTGGGATTTGTTTCTCATTCACTTAGCTATTCATTCAACAACTTTTATTAGGCACTTAGTATATGCAAAGCACAGTGCTTGGAGGCATAGGGATATAAGGATACAGACCCTGTCCCTGAGGCATTTAGATTTTATTATAGAGACAGACATGCACATAAGTAGTGACAGCATAAGGTACAAAACACTAAATACTAGAAGAGAAATAGAGAGAACTGCTTTGGGAAATCAGAGGAGGTAGATATTTCCAGCAGGGAAATTCAGAGAAAATTTGTGGAGAATGTGACAATTGAGTGGAGACCTGGAAGATGGGCAGGGTTTGGACAGGAGGAGAAGGCAACAGCTCTTCATGAGTAGGTCACAGGGTGAGTGTGGGTGTGGCTAGGAGAGGTCAAGGCGTGGATGAGGAACAGTTAGGATGAAGCACTGAGTGTCAGAAGAGAAGTTCAGGGAGATAAAGCTGGAAGGAAATGTTGGGGCTGGTTGTAGACTTTTTATTGCCAGAATAAGGAATGTAGACTTTAACAAGAAGGTAATAAGGTAAATGTAAAAGCTTTTTTTTTTTTTACTTTTTATTTTGAAATAATTTTAGGTTTATAGAAGACTTGCAAAGATAATGCAGAGAGTTCCCAGAAAGTAGTCAGTATCATCTAAGTTTTCATATTTTTTAATATAATCGTTTATTCAATATTCTTATATTACACTCCTATGATTGTATCCCCTTTCTCATGCTTATTGTAGAATATGTCTTGGTTTTTTCTTATTCAGAAATGCCAAAGATTTGTCTTTTTTATTTATCTTTTCAAAGAAATAGTTTTTGGTTTTGTTGACCAGGTTTTCCAGTTTTTGCCCTATTTCATCAGCTCCTCCAAAGCTATCCTACATATAAATTCAATCTACATTAAGAAAAAAAAAGTGAGATTAATGTACAAATGCAGTATCAAAAAAAGTCCCTTGATCCATCTTTTAAGCAGAATGCTGTCCCTAAGTCCCATACAGCCATGGAGCTGTGTAATTCTTTTGTCATGATCCTGCTTGGCAAATGGTGGACTATTTCAATATGAAAATTTGTGCTTTTCTTTACCTTAAGGAAAATTGCTTCTGTTATTTATTTCCTCTCCTTCATTTCCTTTGTCTCTTTCTAGAGCTCTTATTAGATTACTGTTTACCTCAAGGATTTATCCCCTTGTCTCCCACACTATCTTTTTCCATCTCTTTGTCTTTTTGATCTAAGTTCTAGAAGATGCACTTTGCTATTTACTTTTTATGCTTTACTAATTTGGCTGTGATCTATGTCCACTCATCTGTTTACTCGTTTTTCATTTATTTTTTCTGTTCTAGTTTGGCAATCAAATTTTAAATTTCTTGTTCCCTGCTTGTTTCTTGTTTTAAAGCTGTTTTAGGAATAAATATCCTCCCACAATTTTCTGAGGAAACTCACTGTAATACTCTCTTCTGTCCTCTGCTGCTTTAATTATTTCTGTTCTGTTCTTTGCTTGCCTTGGCCTTTTCTCTTTTGCTTTCAGTTTTCCTCAAATGTTTGGTGATCTTTAGTCCACTGACATTCACAGACAAAGAGATAGATGGGCTTGGGCGGCTGGCAGGACCTTGCTCTGTGGCAGAGCAGGTCTGCTTCCCCGGGAGGTCTCCCTTGAATGGGAAGTCTGACGCGAGCTCCGTGAGAGTGGGCAGACTTCACCTCACGACGCTCCACGATGGACCTGCAGGCTCATGTGGATTAGGGGATCCCTTCCTCTGCTTCTGCCTTTCTTCCCCCTTCCCCAACCCTCATCCTTGTCTAAGTGTCTGGGGTACATCAAGTTCTGTTCTGAGGCTTCTAGACCCACTTCCAAATCATCCTCAGCAGACAATTCACTTTCATTAGTCAGAGGTCAAAATCCTCTGCTGACCACTGTGCAGGGTAAGAGAAGGCAAGACCTCACTGGCTTGCTGGGTCAGATGTTTTAATAGCAGTTCTTTAAAATTACCCCTTGCTATGGCCAGAGTAATCTTTCTGGTTTGAATATGTCACTCTCCTGCTCAGAATCCTTCAGAGCTTCTGATTTTGTATAGAATAAAACCTGTTCTCCTTTGCAAAGCCTGAAGACTCTTTATGGTTTGATGAGCATGCCTGACCATCACCTCCCACCATTTCCCTGCCACAGACGCACTTAGGCTCCCAAAATTCTGCAAGTGCTTGTAGTTTTCTCTTGCTCCATGCCTTTGCACACACTGTTCCCTATGCTGAGAATGTCATCTCCCCCTTACTAACTAGCAAGGACACCCTCCACTGCACATCTCAGCTTGTGATTGTATTCCCCGCAAAACCTTCTTTGACTTCCCTTAGGCAGACATAGGTTTGTGGATCTATTTATTAAACTATAGCCTCCTCTCACTCCACAAAGGGCTTGAAATAACGTAAAACAGATACACGGTAACAGGATAAAAGAAATGAGTGAAGCACACTAAGTTCAAAGGGAGAGTAAAGGTGATAAATAATATGAAGTATGAGGTTAGTCCTAAAAATCACATGATGTCAGGTTCTGTAGACTTACACTACAAAGAGATGTACCGAATACTTGCCTCTGGGCTGCCTAGTTATCAAAGCTAAGAGGGAAACTTGAATCCTTGTGAGTTTTGCATTGTCCATAAACCATAAATAAGGCATTTTTGCCAGTTATTGAAAATTGAGAGAGAGTTTACTGTACTGAAGGGGTACTTATAAAGGTGACTGGTAAACTGAAAAGCTCCTTCCTTTAGACTTTCATTGACCCTCAAATATAACTCTATGTAATTACTGTAATTTTTTTGTACATTGATTTCTTCAGGGTGTGGGCCATATCCTCATTACTTGGTCCAATGCTTGATATTTCCTAGTCACTCAATGAGTATTTGTTACACACACTGGATAACCAGATGCTAATGGTTAATGTAAGCAAATGTTTTTGTGTGAGTAGGTGTACAACTAGAAATGTATTGTCATTTACACCCATCATAAACATAATAAAGATTTAACCAACAGGAAGAGTCTTTGTAATAATTATCAAAACAATTCTTGGAATACCTACTATGTACCAGATAAACACACTGCATGTATACTTCATATGACTCCTGAGTAACCCCATGGGTATTATTCCCCATCTCAAAGTTGGGGAAATCAAGAAGTTAAATAAATTTCCCACGTGTGTATTCAGTTATTCAGAGGAAGAACTTGGGCTTAGCATGGGTGCCTAAACCCAGCCCTGTGAGTTGCAGCCTTTGCTGTTGGTTCATGCTTTGGTGAGTAATAGATTGATTAGCATTTGATTACAAAATTCATGGAAGTGGAGACTTTCTACCGACGGAAGGGCCCTGATGGAAGGAGTTTGCTGATGTTCTCTTGTTCTTTAAAGTTTATTCCAGAATATTTTGAAGGGAATGGCAGCAGATATCAGGCAAATAAAATGCTATAAAATTCATTTTCCATAAAGAAGTATCAGGGGATACTTCATTTTATATTTTAAAAGATATTATATTTTATATTTTAAAATGAAGTATAAATATAAAACACTTTCATTTTAAAAAAGTGAAACATCTGACCAATTTTTCTGTATATATAATGGAATGTGGCACAACTTTTTCACTATGACCAAGAAAACTTATAATGTTATCATTTTATAAAAGGGCTTACTTTATTTTAACCCAGTTAACTTTCACTGACCAATATATGGTTGCTTCTTACCTGAAAGTTGCCAAAACAGCTTCCTCCTGGGAGGGTCACATAACTCACAAAGGGAGGACCAGGAGAGGGCAGTGACTCATAGACCACCACACCTTCACTTGGGAACGCAGCCCTCTGTTGTTGCTTGCTTTCCCAAAATTCCTGTAACATTGACACAACATTCACTGAAAAAGACAAGAAACACAATTAGTTTTTAAGGACGGTCATACCTTAGCCAAAACAAAATGTTATTTGCGGGCTGGATTGTGTCACATGTCATTTCCAGTTTAAGCAGAACAGGGTATGTATATGGTTGGGTGGGCCGTACCCTCCGTTGTGAAAGAAGCAGATGTGTTTATTTCACAAATGTGTTTATTTCTTCATGAGTATGGTTCAAGCGGTTTAGTATCCTAATTCTAACAACATTGCAGTATATTAAATTTACCTTATAAATTAATTTTTAATATCAAATTAAAAAATCTCACTCTTCCTTCTTTGAAAATTTGCTTTAATAAACTTTGTCCAGAGCTATGATTATCCATGGCCCCCACTCCCATTTCTCATAGATTCTCAAACCTGTAAAGTGAAAGCCAAATTTGGAGGTCACGATGTAAGCAATGTAATTTTAACTGGGACTCACCTATTGTAAGATTTGAGGAGAAAGGCAGAAAGAAGAAAACTCTTTCATGCTCCTCTCCACTCCAGTCTAAAGAATGAAAGGCAATTGTGTAATAAGCAGGAGGCTGGAAAAAGCCATAAGTGAAACGAGTAACATGGAGACCTTGTTAAGGACCACGTCTGTTAGATGACTTCAGAAAACATAGCAATGGCTATAGCCATGTGTTTTTGATTAAATGACCTGTGATAGGCTGCAGAAGTTCCAGATCAAATTAGGTTGGTTTGTTTATCCTGTACAGCAAATTGAATTGTGGAAATTAACAAGGATAATAGAATTGTAGAGTCAAAAGAGACCTTACAGGTCATGCAGGCAAAGCTCTGCCTAATGCAGGAATTCCTTGCACAACACTATTGACAGCTGCCCATCTAGCCTGTGGCTGAACACGTGGAAGGATCTGGTACTTGGCACATCTTGAGGCAGCTCTTTTCAACTGCTAATGGTTCTAATTGTGAAAAGGTCCTTTTTGGGAGTGAGCGGAAATCTGCTTTCCTGTAAGGTTTGTGCAAGTGGTCTACTTCTCATTTCTGGGGACTCATAAAATTTTATCCCCTTATCCACATAATAGCCCACCATATACTTGAAGGCAGTGTAGAGATCCATTGTTCTTGCCTGCCTGGCATCTGCTTCCTCTCCTTGTGGGAATAGCACAAAAGTTTTCCTTAAAGAACCACTCTCCTTCAACAATGTCTTCTCCAGGGCTGAGGGGTGTGGATTTGACCAAAGCCAAGTGACTTAGAGCCAATGAGTCCAGGAATTTTGTTGGAAATATTGGAAGACGAGATTCTCCTTTTTCACTAGGGTTGCCTGGGGGATAGGAGGAAAGTGTGGCATTGCCCAAGCAAGGGGGAAACATGGCTGAGAAGAAAGCCAACATAGAGAAGGGTAGAACCAAGAGATGGAGAAAGAAAGACCAAGTCTTGATGACACAATTTGAGCCCCTGAACCAATATATCTGCTTTTTCCTTAAACCATTTTGAACTGGAATCTCTGACTTGCATATAAAAGTATACTAATACAGACAACTCTCAGGTTTCCTCAAGTTCTAGATTAAATAGTTATTGTTCTTTTAAACATTCTTCGTGTAACAAGGTGTCTACGCCCTTTTGCATTCTCCTGAATACATTCCTTGATATGCGTCAAAATGCTGGGCTTCAATATTTTTCAGGGAGTCAGGAGAGTCACAGAGTTTGACCTGGAGTCAGAAACATTGCACAACTACCTTCTAAGCTGTTTACTAGAGCGCCCGGCTCCTTTACCTCATCTCTGGGTCACCGACCAGCTCCACAGTGTATAGTTCAGGCAAATTCTGGAGACACCTAAGGAATTGGATGCCTGTGTATATTTAAAAACTGTGGTGTTTAGTATTTAAGAAGCATTTTGGGAAAAAAACTGGGGAAATGTAATAGTATCAGAGGGGATAATTGAATTAACCAAAAAAATACATGTTGAATTGGTCAAGGTGAGATTGGTCATCACAGAGCTTTTTTGTTCATTCAAATATATTTGAAATAATATTTTCTACCAGTCGATGTAACTCAAAATAGAACTTTCATTTCCTAAACTGTATTTCTGCTCCCCATCCTCCCCTCCCTCTTGTCTCCAAGAAAACAAGCATTTTTGAGCTGGCTGATCCGTGTTTCTACTTGCAGTTGACCTCCAGAATTCAGCAGAGATGTCTTGAAGATTGAAGCCTAAAACCAAAGCCCCTGTGGCCTGTTGCTCTGATAGTCAACAAGGCACGTTAGCCTGCTATTTTAAATTAGTTCATTGTTGAATGATGTTCATCTGAGAATGGGAGTAGGAAGATGACTCATGATTATCCAGGTAAAATGAACACAAGAATTTTGGCATGTAAAGCTATATGGATTAAAGAGTTCAAAGGTATGCACTGAGTAAAATTTCTGCCTGAATAAAAGTAGCATTTTTCAAATTTTTCATTCTGCAACTTTGGAGATTTCTTTGATGGTCTTATGTATGTCATCACCTCTAAAGAGTGCAACATATGTACATGCACACACACAATCCATCTTTCTATCTCTATCTCCTCTTGTCGACTAGCAAACCAGATGAATGGAGTGCAGAGGAAAGAAGGCCAGCTTGCTGTTTGGCATTCTAAAGGTCAGTATATCAGAGGAGGCTCTATTTATGAAACACATGCTCCTTTAGTTTTTTGAAGTAGCAACAACAAGGTTCATGGACAATGTCAAAGAAAATACAATCAGAAGGTCAAGTACTGGTGAAGAAAAACACCCAGTTTGAGCTTAGGCCTCACTACACAGTTTAGTCTTTAGCTGCAGCTGCACTTTTAGTGCCAGCCAATGATCCTGCCTTCCACATTACAGAACTAAGTTGGGCCACCGAGCATATTCAACCCTGCATCTAGCGACCCATCTGCACAAGTGTCCAGCTCCAGCTTATTTCCTCCAGTCTCAAATGAATTTGTGTTGCTTCTCCTGGACATTGTTCTTTTAGTCCTTCTCTTGACCTCCTATTTTTAAATGTTTCCTCTTTAATCATTCCTTAGCAGCCATAAGTATGCTCAAGACAATGAATAAATGAATAAATGAACCAATCAATGAAATGAAACACTCAACCTTGGGACTATTTCTGGCTACTAGTTATTAAAAGTTTCCTATTATAGCCAAGCTTCTAGAAAGAATATTCTACATTACTATCTCTGCTTCCTTATCTTCCATTCATTTTTAACCCTCCACAATCTAGCTTTCCTCTGCGTTATTCCACTGAAACTACTCTGGCAAATATCACCAATTCCTAATTTTCAATCCTTATTTACTTGACCTCTAACCGCATTTGACACTACTGATTAATTTCTTCTAGAAACTCTCATATCCCTAGGCTTTTCTCACAATATTCTTCCTGATTCTGCTTCTCTATTTATAATAATTTCTTCTTAGTCTCTCTTGTGAGTTTCTCTTCCTCTGCTCACCACTCATGTTGATTTGCATGAGAATCTTGTTCTTGTCTTTTCTTGCTTCTCTCTCTGCTGCTCTCCTTGAATGACAGAACCTATCTCCATGACTCCATCTACCATTACATATGCCTACAGTTCCCAAACCATTCTCCTGTAACTCCAACTTTTTTAATAGATACTTCCATTTGGATGTCATGTAAATTCAACATATTCCCAAACTCAACTCATTTTCTTTTCCATAAACTCTTCTCTTCCCCCTGAGTTACTTAGAAAGTGATGTATCATCTACTTAGTCACCTAAATCAGAAACCTGGCAGGAACCTTAAACTTAATTTCCTCTTTTCATAAGTAATAAATGCCCAAGTTGCATCAATTCCATATGCTGATGTCTCCCATAGTCATCACTTTCTCTCAGCTGATACCGCCATTGCTGCATTGGTTCGTGTCTCACCAAGTATACCACAATACCCTCCTGCCTCCAATCGTTCTCCCATCCAACCTATCTTCCAGTTGTTCCAAGGATAATCTTTCTCAATCTCATAGCTGATCAAATCACTCAGATCTTCTTAAAATTTTTCGGTGAGTCCTTCATTACTTACAGGATAAATAACTCCTTGGCAAGGCATAGAAGACCCTATGTCTTGATACTGTCTCTCATTGCAAATTGCTCTCCTCAAGTCACCCTCCAGGCCCCTCATGCCCCCATGCTTCTTATGCTACTGGCAAGCCCTGTACTTCCATTCCTCCTCTTGGAATGCCCTTCTTTCCACCGTCTGTTGTCTTCCTGGATGGCATTTACTCATTTTTTAAGATTCACCTCCAGCATCAGCTCCTTAAAAATAAAAACAAAACCAAAATAATCTCTAAACCCTTGCTACGGAAACTGCAGTCCTTTGAGAAACAGCATGGATACCACTTGGGGACTTGTTAGAAATGGAGGATCTCAGGCCCTACCTCAGAACTACTGAACCAGAATCTGCATTTTTAACAAAATTTTCAGGCAATCTGATGCACATTAAAGTTTAAGAAGGCCTGCTGTAGGAAGACGTTGCTATTCTCACCTCCCTTATCATGTGCCTATTATACGTCAGGCACTGTGCATTGTCTCATTTAATCCTTACAACACCCCCTATAAATAGGTATTATCATCCACAACTTGTAGATAAGAAATAAAAGATGCTCAAGGTACAATCACATAGCTACTAAGTCTTAGACCTGGGATTTTTAACCTAGTACTGAGTGTACAGTCTATGCTCTTTGTTCATCCTGAGACACTCTCTACAGTGGAATTTAAGTTGTTCTCATGTGTGTCTACTGTACTAGAGACAGTGCTCTTTGGAGGAAAAATTGTGTCATTTTTTCCACAATGTCTGGAACACAGTAGGGGCATAATAAATATTAGTTGAGTGTCTGAATGTCGTCAGAGGTATGGACGATGTGATGCATTTGTGAGGCTGTTGGTAGGGGTGGCATAGGAGGCTCTCCACAAAGATTACTTCGCCTACCTTTCCCCAGGGGCCATTTTCTGACATTTTTTCTTGACAAAGTCAAATAAAGCAAAGGCCAATATTTGT